TGCGATATGATAATTTGGAATTATATTGGCTATTAAGATTTGCTAATTAATATACAATTTATTAATTCACAACGAAACTAAAGATACTTTCAATAAAACGTTCGCTTTTATTTCTAATAAATAGGCGTTAACGCAATTTCTACGTGTGAATACATGTTTAATTAACTCCAATTTGCGCTAGCTGGCTACAGACAAAATTTAATTCTCTGTACTGGATGCAATACTTCTTTTTTTATTCGCTCTTTCATTGCGGATTTTCCTTTCGCACGAGCTCTCAACTTAATACGGTTATTTATCATGGCTGTAGTGACCAATAAGTCAGGAAGCGAACGTGAATGCGATAGTTTCTGCGATGTCTACGCAAACATGGGCACATCGCCATTTTCATCTATCATAAGATTATACTTTTTTTTTGACGTCATAAATTACACGCTATATGCGTAGATATGAATCGTGACTGTCCATTAGACTCCAAATGTCGACTGTTGCATCTGTTAAATGCTTATGCTGTTAAATTAATAAAATATGCGAAATAATATTAAATAAAAAAATATATTTATATTACATTTAGTAATATTTTCAAAATGATTATTATTAATCTAACTGTTATTATATAGGAATAGCATCATTGGAAATATATTTGCAGAAAATACACTATAAACAATAAAAGAAAATTTTTTTATCGAAATGTAAAAAGTATAACAAGATAGTATAAAAAGAAATATCTCTGAGAATATGGATAAAAAAAAAAAGAATTATCTTGGCAGTGAAAAATGTTTCATGCCTACAGAAGTATTAAGCAAAATGGCACAGTTATATGCGATTATTTATCACTGGAATGATAATACTCATGGAAGGACGACTGTTGTAATTTACGAGAGTCCACGTTCCTCGCGCGAGTTTTCTAGCTTTGTGTACTGTTCTTTTCCAACGCCATATTATCGTAGCAAGATAAGGCATGTTGCCGATTAAATCCAGCTGTAGACAATTTGCACAGAACTGCAACTGAAACAATGCTTGAATTCGAAACTTCAGTTACGCGCGTCATAACGTTTACAAATGCGTCATCATGTTATCAGAAACGCAGTCGCTGTTCGACAATTCCCATCGCGACAAATGTAAATGTTGAGAAATTCTGATATACAATTTTGGGACGTGAAGATATATCAATTCTTATATGTGTGCTTATAAATTAGACAATTAACAAAGTATTTAAAAAATATATTAATACGTCTCTTCGCAATTTATTGTAATTTACTGTATCATAATTTGCAATAATCGTGACAATAAAATTTCAATAATACAAAATGTAGGTTAAACATTCTGATAGAATCGTGTTTCTAATATTGATTCAGAATAGTTGCAACGCATGGTTGTTTGCAAGGTTGGGAAATAACACCGCGCATTATTTGTAACGCCCGCAGTTATCGTTACATTTTTTTCAATAACGACTGTTACTTTTGTTTGTTTGTAACGACAATGGTATGTCGTTACATTTTTACAGTAACTGGAATGAATTTATCCGTTTTATCGTTTTATTTTAATTCCTATTATTATCTATTTTTAATAGATTACATTATCTTTTTAATCAAATAAAAATATTTTGTTTAAATACAAATATAAATGTTAAAAATACTGAATACTGTAGTATCTATAAGTACACATATGTAACGTGAGCTATAAAAAGAGGATATTAAAAAGAGATCGATTTCTGCTCAAAAAGATGTAAGAAAAGAATTTTATTATAGATTTTAATCTCCTGGGTATGATAAAATTATTAAGGGTGAACTGTTCGCAGCGTTTGAGAAATATTTTGAAAATTGAGCACGGACGTAATGTATTTATTCAAATTTTAATATTCTTGTTTCATTTTCGACTTTTTTAAGCCTCCTTTCACTTAAAAATTAGAATGCACTTTTAATAACAATATTAATGTTTCAAAATAATGTTCCATTTTTAAATTTTTAATAAAATTTATATTTATGAATTACAATCAAAATTTCTAAAGATAAATATTATTAAAAAATAAAAATATTAATATAAAAAATACACAATTTATTATATTAAGTTAATATATAAGGAAAAGCTTGCTATATGAAGATTAACTTAAAAAATTTTAATTACACTATTGATTGTTACAATCAATCATTAAAACAAAAAATAAAAAAAGTAAAACTATTACTTTCTAAATAAAAGTAACAAATTACTTTTTACAAAAAGTAACAGCAATTATTTTTATAAAGCAACGTTCCCAAGACACACGATATAAAACCTGAAGTTCGAGTCACGTGCAAATGAATCCAATATTTTAAGAATGGATTTATTCGATATCACAGTCATGATTAATTAAAATATTCGGAATGTCGTAAACACCGGTATTACATGTCTATGCTCAGAATTCCTCTCTATTTCGAGAGAAAAATATTTTGATCTATAGTGTAAATAAAAAATATATTTGTAACAGTGCGCTCAGTTATTTTGCTGTTATCGACGGTAGTCATTTCAAATTATACGCGTTCCAAATTATACACAATCCAACGCATGTCGAACTTAATAACGACATAAAGGCTCTGTATGCGAGAGTTACGCTGATCAGTAAAATGACATGCGCAGACAGGAACGAGGATGGAGCGACTATGGTCTGCCATGCGTTTAATATTCTCGATGTGTATGTATATTCGCGTTGCCGCATTTCAGGCAATCTAGATCAAATCACGGCGGTGTCCCTGTTTCCGACCGTTGGAATCATTCCAGCAATAAAGCTCACATTCAACATGCCGAATAATGTAGCTAAGGTATCTATAAGTGTGTTTGCACGTGCAGGGACGAACCAATCAAGAGAACGTGCAGGCAAGAGACCGATTAGTAACTTGGACAAGAAGAGCAACACCAAAAGCATAGCATAAACAGAAGACGAAGGTCCTTCATCAATAGATGAAGAGAGAGAGAGAGAGAGAGAGAGAGAGAGAGAGAGAGAGAGAGAGAAGAAAAGAAAGAGAATACTGGCAATCGACCAAATGGTGCAATTTACATCTCGATTACGAATTTGACATAGATTCACTCATATCTGTAAAAATATATGTATTTACTATCGTCCTACTTCGAAGGTTATCACAGCATGGTCGAAACTTAGGAAGAACGTTGGCATTTACGAAAAACAGAAGTCCTTCGGAAGAAACAACCGTTTTTCTCATTTTCTGAAGAAAAGAAAATTGAATTTTGCCGTTTCATCCAGTATCTTTGTATTTATTTTAGTAGTGCGCAAAACAACAAAAACTATTTTTCTCAATGCTTTCTAAAAAACGAAATTTAGTCGATTATACTACTGAAATTATATTAGTTTATTGTATTTTATGTTACATAATTTATTATGTTTATTGTAATAATGTAATGTACAATAATGTAATGTACCAAGAAAATTATTAAATAACTATTGAAATTTTTGTGAATATAATGTGAACTCTTTATTAAAGATAATTCAAAAACTAAATTAGATAAACGATATCCTATTAATAATAAAATATTATCTTTTCTATTACAATATTATTTTTTTATAATTTTTTTATGAATATTTAAAATGTATTAAAATTTAATAATTCGATAATTGTGATATCGATAATTAATTTAATCATTGCAAAATTAATGCATTTACATGCTTATTGAGCGACTTTAATTTTTATTTAATTTTAAATTACAAAAATTTCAATTTATTTATAAATTATAGAAAAAAGATATGTTCTCTCAATATGTCAATAAAATGTTAAAATTTCTAGAACATAAATTGAAATGATAAAATAAATAAAGTTTTAGTCTGTCACTAACTTCTCCAAGCGTTTTACATAAAATAACGCACATGTTCTGAAAGTTTTTATCATTTTATTGAGAGATTTGAAAGGATCAATAATATTTGATTAAATTCTCCGAAATTTGTAAGTTGTTCAAATCCACAACGATAATTTTTGCGAAATATTATTTATAATAATACCTTAATAAAATGTAGTGCGCGTAAAACTAAATATCATAGGTGACATAAGTACTTATATTTAGTCTTAGTTTGAGTATTTGATAAGTTTTCGTTTATAACGAAAGTTATATTTAACTCGCGCCTCTCCTTCTTCTTCTCCATCTTCCGAGTATCTCTTAACATTTCTCCTTGTGTAATCACGCTAACAAAGTTGAAGGAAACCACAGTGAGACACAATTTACGAGAGCTCTATGAGTTAGATGTTAATTAATATTACCGTTCGCGCCGGGTCAAGGATATCCAAGTAAACGAGAATCGAGTTACAAATTAGGTCGAATCATGCTTAAATATCATCTCTTATTATTAAGAGAAGAGCGTGCTATCAAGTAGCATTGGAGGATATATTTGATCAGCTTAATTCAGATCTGTTAATTTCTCGTAAAATTTAAATAATTAGGAGAAAAAATTTAATTCTTTGCAAAATAAAAAACAAATTTTAAAAAGATATCGTTATAATAAGACTTTACACAAATTTTAAACACGAATCTTTAAATCTTACATTATTTAAATGTTATATTTAAATGATGCTGAATAGATATAGTTATATTTGTAATTGATAATATATAATCAATCAGTAAAAGTAATTAACAAAACAGTTTATTATACTAATAAAAATCGCATCGGAGGCATAATTCATGTTTTGATTTAAGATATATTTATATTCTATTTGTATAAAGGTTGCCGTTCAGTGAACTTAAGCTGCTAGTCAGGATATTGCTTTAAGTTTACGTAATCTAACGGAAATTGGAAATAACAATAAACTTCTACTATCCATAACCTCACGATTAGGTGAATTTCAACCGGTTGAAATTCGCCTTATGAATAAGTTTACTGCTATTTCCGTTAGTACGTAGATCTAACGCAATATTTTATTGGCCCATTAGCTTAAGTTCACGTCTTAAGGTTACTGTTATAGAAATTTTGTGTGCGGCAGCCCTAAGCAACATTGAGCATTAAAATATTGTTTACGTTACAGATGGGAATGACGCAACAAGAAGCTGGTGCATCAGTTACGCCGGAGGAAAGTGGAAAAACCTTAAGCAAGATATTGCAGCTGGGAAACATCATAACAGCAGGAAATGGTAATTTTTTTGTTTATTTTAGCTTTTAATGTATGCATTAAATCGCACATGATTATTTTAACAACTCAACTTAATTTCTATTCATTTAATGATAACTCTCTTCACATTAATAAAATTATGCACTAGAGAAAATTTCGTATTGAAACATTACTATGAAATGCTTTTATAAGATCGATTCCGCTTCCTCATTCTGTATTTTTCAGAAGTGCATTTCAAAAAAATGCTTTAGCTTACTTTACATACTTTCTGTATACTTTCCAATTAACATCAACAAGTCACTGTTAACACAAACGCGTTTGAATATCAATCAGAATTGTACAATCTCTTTCCATCTTATTCTCTCTTCGTAATTTCTTGTTACTTCAAATTTATTCGTGACATTTTCCTCATGTACATATCTCAGGTATCCTGACCTGACTGTAAAAGCATTTGGCTCGAGTATGATTTCGTTTCCACGAGCATTTTTATTTCATGATACTCTCTCTCACGGCACTCGAATCTACAGAATTTATATTTATACGTAACTGTGCGTAAAGTGCGAATATAACACTTGCATAAATATCAGCCAATGTTTGTCCAATTATACGGTGGAGCCCCGCGTTGGTGGATGAAAGTACGCGAGAAAGGCCAATGAGGGTCGAGGACAATCGGGCAAGGGCGTTTCCCCACTTTTCATCGACGGCGTACATTTTCCTTTTTCCTTCATTTTGCACGATGCACGATGGAAAGCACCGTACCATCTACTCTGCGGGTAGAAATTTATTAAAGGCGAATGCTGCAGAGGTGTAGCAATGGCGTACCTGCGCGGCCTTAAGCAGCCGCGTGTCGATTGTCTCGATACAATACTGTCTGTTTTGATTTATGCGTCGTCGAATTGAAGAAACGTCATGTCGCAATTTATCAGCATTGGGACATTGTTAAACGCGTTGAATTTATCGAAAACTTTTGTGCTCGGTTGTATGTTTATGAATAAGCTTCCCTCACGATTCTCCGACAATGATTAAAATTATTTCGCTTCACTTCGTCATGTGTTTCGTGTTTCGTGTTTCGTTGATGGCATTTTAATAGAGATGTAATAATATCGTAGAAAACGATGTTCCTCTTTACTTTGTATTTACCGCTATCGGTAAACATAATTAATAGTCCTACGCTTGCGTAAGACTTTAATGCTTTTACTTCACTAAAAGGGAAGGTACGAATCCAATTTACATTTTCTACATTACTCGACGTATTGGTATAATCGTGCACACATATACATGCCCAGAAAATCCCAACTTACTATGTATACTATATTTCCACAAGTATCGAAAGTTTAAAGATTACTTTGTAAGTAAGAAAAATATACCAAAATACACAGTGATGTATTCATAGTCGATATAATAAGAGAAATTGGAGTACATTCGCAAGTTTAATTACTAAACGATTCTATCGTCGACTGATGATGAGAATTAATTTGAATGAGAATTAATTTGAAATTGATTCACGTATAATTACTACGATAAAATTTTACAAAATCATTCTTTCCAGCAAATTACGTCTTTAAAATAAAAAAGGCGGACAGTAATCTATAGAAACACGACGTACACAATTTATTTTCACTATTGATGTACAAAATAAAAAAGCAATATTCGAAAGAAAATCCGCTAATTGAAAGAGAAAATCACGAAAAAATTTCGTCCATCTTACTTTATTTTAATCCCAGAAAAAGCACTAACGAAGACAAGTGGAGAGTATTGCAGAAGTATTCTCTAAGCGAACTAAACCCGACTGTGCACAGCAGGATTTAAATGACAGAGATTTGATGAGAAGCAAAGAAAGTTTTTCCCTTCAGTGAAACTTACATTTTCTTCATTCCGTAACGTGACTTATGCTGTAAATTTTTCCTTTTCGTTTGTGTTTCGCATTACATTAAATTTCATTTAACGATGCCGCATAATAATATATTGTCTTTATCTGCTACCTTACAAGAACACTCATAAAAGAAGATGTTTAATTTTAAAATAAGTATTAAAATGTTTTATTTGTCTCCATTTTTTAAATAAGTACTTAAATAAGATGTTTTAGCTTTAAACGAGCATGTAAAACTAAAAAGTGTTTAATTTTGAAAAGTGTCTTATTAAAAAATGTATAAAGATATATAATTTTGTAAATATATTATTTGGAAATATTTTAGAAAGATATTTAGTTTTAAAAAGTATTTTAAAATGAAAACATCAAAAGCTGTTTTAACTTAAGACTTAAAGCTTAGGTAATGATTTATTAGAAAATCTAAAGAACTTAATTTAAAATAATATAGTATTTAAATTTAAAATACTAAAACGTTTAAAGCTAAAACAGTTATTATTAAACATTTGTTTTGGAAAATAAATTTTAAATAGATTTTAAACATTCCACTTTTTATAGTAAAGATAGATAAGATTTCATGATTTATTATGTGGGCGATATTTTTGATAAGACTACATGACTATATAAATATTAAAATGATTTAACTTAATTAATTAATATAAGCTTATGTAAGCAGATTTGTTTGAAAAAATAAAATAATTTTGCAGCAGACTCTGTTTTATGTCACAGAATAGTTAATTGAAATTAATTCATTGCAAAAAATATTGGAGATTAAATTCTTGTTCTGAAAAGAGATAAAAAAATCTTTAATGCGGAACGTACCAATTGCGAGAAAGAAGAAATACGGTAAGTCTTTTGACAAGACCGGCTTTGCGAAGATCGATCTATTTCCTCGGATCTAATACGCGTTTTGTTCGACCGATCGTTAAGTAATAGTGTTTAAGCCTTTAATCGCAATCACAAACGATCAGACATAAAGGGAAGTGAGTTAATGTCGTTCCACCGACGAAACGGGCAGTTCTAATTAATCCTCTTCGTCCTCCGCGTCGGATCTTCGTACGACGATTCGACTCCGCCTCGTCTATTGGCGGAGATTCGTAGCTCGAGAGTTTCCCGGGAATTTCGCATAACTTTCTGCAGACCTCGCTACACCCACTGAACCTCTCCAAGATCCAACACCTAAAGGAGAACTCTTAAAGGAGAAATGGATACTTTCAAGTGAGACTCCTATGAAACATACTTGTTAACCTGGCGGATATGGCAGTTTTATTTCTCAGCTAATTGTGTTGTCAACAGAATGTGGACAGATGATATCTTATTTTGCCTTTGTGTGAGAAGACCGAATTATGAGCGATAATTAAATAATTGATATACCATAAAATATTCGGAATGCATCATATATATTTACAAAGCAATAAATCTGCTAGAATAAAGTGACTATATATAAACTGGCAATAGAATTTTTATGACAGTAATAATCCTATACATCTCTATTAGACTTAAATATAATCCTGCATTTACACACACACACACACACACACACACACACACACACACACACACACACACACACACACACACATTTATATGTGTTAGATAAATTATATTCATTGATTCATCAATTGATTCATATCAATATTGATTTGAATCATGAATAAAATGGTATAAACTGATAATATTAATAACTAATTTCAAATTCAAATTAAAAAAAAAATATAATTAAGAGAAATAAAATGCTCCGAAATAATTCTGCAAATATTGGCAATAAACAAAAAAAAAAACGTAGAGCAATGTTAAGAAACTTATAGATATCATGAAAAGAACGGTTATGAAGTATCTAAACATTTAGCTAGATATACATAGATCCGAAAATAATTTTATTTGGATTATCAAAATAATTATAGATAGAACGCTTGAATTGATCCTAAAATGTTTTTGCAGCATTATCATTAATGCTTAAGTATTCTCTAATAACTTTTAATGATCCAAAATTATTTCCAATTCTGTGAATGCAGCTAAATTTTTTAATATTTCAGCAATATCATTCTTTCCACGGAAAGAAAGGGTTGGTACTTTAAAAATAGCCGTCGACATCTCTTTTCATTTTGCTTTCTCGCCAGAAATTTGAGCTATTTGTGAAAGTGATCAGATAACGTACGGTGCCGAGTGATGGAGTTGTGAAGTCAACATAAAGGGGAGAGCTCGGGCGAAGTCAGAAGAAACTTCTAAAGAGAGTGGAAAGTTTGATAATAGCGGTGTAGGTACTCGACAAGCCAAGAACTGAGCGCTCTTATAAAAAATGTGAGCATATATATGTTCGTAAGAAATGAAACACGGAGACACATACAAACAACTAGGTAACGACACGAGAGAGTTGAGGACTCTTGACAATAAAAGGAGAAAACGATTGAATAGTAACTGTCATTTATATGTATATCTAGAGCACCAAATTTAGCCATTCCCGCGGGCTCGTTGCACTCTTCTTCCTAGTTCTTTATGGTGTAATTATCAATTCAGGATTTTGAAATTGTCTGTTGGGAAATTATAAGCTATGTTCGTGATTTTCTCTTAATTATAGTATAAAATTAATTCTACTAAATTTATATATGCCAGATGTAAAATTTATCAAGTTGTTACAGTAGATAATTTGTTAAATCTATTAAAAATTAATTTCATTATATATATATATAATAT